TCTGTATAGATATATATATATATATATATTCACATATATTTATAACAAATTACTTAAATAATAAAAAAAATAAATTACAGTAAAAGCAATGAAGATTTTGTAGGTTTTGAACCAAACTAAATAACAGTAAACCTTTTTTTGATTTACAATATTTTCTTAGTTTGATGTTTTGAGCTCTTTTGTGTTTAGAACAATATATACTAATTTTTAAAGTATCAAATTGAATTTTTGTTCAATAAACATCTTTCAAATGCAACTGTAGCTTTTTTCCCCAAAAACTTTACCTTCAAAATATTCCGAAAAATAAGGTAAATTATGAAAATTATTTATTTTCTTTTATTAAGAATGTCCAGCTCAGATAATTAAAATAAGCTCTAAAATTATATAATGAAAAGTAGATCAAAGTAATATCATTTATCATCTATAAACTGTTTTAGAAAAGTATGTAATTTCAAATAGGTTTTCCAACCCCCACCAGAGGGTACCAGGTTGTGTGTTGTGGCAACTAATGTTGCAGAAACCTCACTGACAATTCCCAATATTAAGTATGTAGTAGACACTGGGAAGGTAAAAGTATTTTTGAATTTTTTATTAGTTTATGATTGCATAAAAAGATAAAAAAGTTCTGATTTTAGGCCTTCCATTTTATTAATAATTGATTGTGTCATTTGGTCTACTGGTAACAAAATTCTCAGGATCATCATCTGTTATACAGGGTCAGCTATATTACGTTAATAGGTACGTATATTGGTATAATATTCACTCAAAGGATATGAATTAGAAAAAAAATATATTTTCTATTTGTGACATTCACTAACAAACCATAAGGTATGTTATAAGATGAGCAGCAGTAAACCATGAAAATGTTAAATTATTTTGTCTTTCTTAATGTAAATGTTAAACAATCAACATTAGAATAAATCTAAAAACAATATTTATAAACATTTATTGCTATTAAATGTTATTAATATTTTTGTAAAATGTACACACAAGAATTATCACTCCTGCAACACTTGCATGTTTAAACATGCACTGTTGTGGTCAGTAATTACCATCTGTTTAGCACATGCAGAAACAGACTTCCTTTACACAGCTTGTGGATATCAATTACAAACATCACAGAGAGTAAGTTCTTTCAAGACAGAAAAACATTTAATGCTATCTAGAAGAACTGGAAATCAACTGACCCTTTATAACATGTTGTTGAGAGGCCTGTGATTTTAATTATATAGTTAGGAATAATTATTCAAGTTTATAATCTTAATACAAGTTGTCAACTTCAGAAGTGAGAAGTCATATATCTTTCCAATTAATATATAAAAATTATACATAATATGAAAATAAAAGGTTACTCTGTCATATTTAGCTGTTAGTTTTTGTTCAAATTCATGAAATATAAATGTTGTACAAATAAATCTTTTTCTGTTGTTAGTTGTAGAAAAACCATTATGAATTTAAACATTGCTTGCTAACAAACTAAGATCATGAACACTGGAAGTGTGGTGTGATTTTGTAAAGTGATAGTTTACTGTTCTACATTTAAAGAAGTAGGTGGAAATTGTAGTCCTTATAGGTCAGGAATAGTGGAACTGTGGTGCAGTTTGTAAAATGTTAATTTATTTTCATCATAAGAAATAGGTAGAACTGATAGTCTGTATAAAAACAACAAATTTTATGAAAGAAGATTTCTTAGGAAAGTAAGAGTATATTGTGAATCATAAAATTTTACAGCCATATTTTTATAGAAAACATAAAACATGGAGTATTTTTATTTTCTTCTTGATAATCACTATTGGGTATTTTATGTTTTAAAATCTTTCAATATTTTTATTAAGGGGAGTGTTTCTTATGGAAGTGTAATTATGTTCCAAGGAAAAGTCTACAGGATTAGTGTACTTGTATTAATTAGAATTGAATCTTCCTACAAGTTTGTTTGATGTATGTTTTAGTCTCCCCCAGTACATTTGTACTAGTTAAAAAATTGATGATTTACTCATTGTCTTTTTAAGTCTGTAGAGTTCTGAATTAAGACAAGCTTTATTTCAGGTGAAAACCCGTGTTTATGATCAAGTTAGTGGAATATCTGCCTTTTTGGTCAGTTGGACATCTAAGGCATCAGCTAATCAGAGAGCTGGTCGAGCTGGAAGGACAGCTCCTGGTCATTGCTATAGGTATTTTTTATCTCTTTGATTAATATTTAAACATTGAAAAGCTTTTTAACTGAAAGTTTATTGTTTGTGATCTCTACTCTGTAAATATAGGCCCACATTTTTTTTTAGGTTTTATTTTTATCTGCATATAGGTTAACACAAAAACAATTTTACTGATGATTTTCTGTTTCATTAAGTGAAGTGGAAAATATTTCATTTATATATAATGTGTTTTGACACAATGAGGAAATATTTGTACAAATTTTGTTGTTGAAGTAAGGGTCATAAACATTATCTTTATGGAAACAGCCTCAGCTTTACAATTAAAACATTTCTGTACTGCTTTCTTTGCTGTCAGAGTGCAGTCATGGGAGTCAGGCATTACTAACATACCTCAACTTAAGAACAATTTCTTGTACAAGTTTGGAATTTGGCACACAATATTCCAATCTCATTAGCTTTGACTGAAGTATCTCTCACACTGGTCCATGAGTGGTATTTTAAATGTAACATATGTGTAATGCTAGAACAAGTGATATGATTTGTTCTAGATTCTTTTCTTACACACAGAAATCATTTCAATAGTTTTACTTCATGTAATATTTGTTTTAAATTGTTAATAGTAATCCATCTAGTTAATTGTTTACATGTGCATTCTTGAAAAAAAGATCTATTTTTTAACTGAAAATCATTTTCCACAAGACTTTGAAGTTATCCAATTATTTCATGAAGTTGACTTTTTTCTCTTGTTAGGTTGTATTCATCAGCCGTCTTCAATGATGAATTTACCCAGTTTTCTGCCCCAGAAATTACCAGGAGGCCAGTAGATGATCTGGTATTACAAATGAAGGTATTGACTATATATATACACAAACACACACACACAGTAAAAGCTTTGTTTTCTGGCATCTTTGCATCCAGAAATTTAATATCTTAAAATACAAATTCTCATTGTAGGAACTGGCATTCATTACAGTTCCATCTTTAATGTTCAGAATGCTCTCAAGCCTTCTCAAAAGTTTACGACTGTACTTAACTGATGCTGCCATTTAGTAACACAAGTTTTAGTTGTTAGCCACTTGTATTATGATTCACATTGTGCTTACTTTCTTTTTATACAGTTTAAGGTTTTTTACAGCATTTGTTATTGTTATAAATAATGTAAAAATACTGCACATTTTTCTTTAAAATGTTGAGGAAAATGCTTTTGTAACTGGAATTTTTGTCCTCTGGCACTACCCAGGTCGAGCAGATAATAAAGCTTTTACTATATATACATTTGTAGTTATTCAAGCAATGAATTTACATTTAGTAAATATATGATAAAAAAGCCCATCATTATGTAATGTTTAATTTTTTTTCTTGAAGTAGCACACTTTAAAAGTAAACAATCATCGATAAGAGTTATTGCTTCATATACATGAACTTTCACAGAATTAAAATCAACTAAAGTGAGGTTCAGAAAAAGCAACAAAATGTCACCATCAAGTTAACACCATTATTTATTTTTATAAACCTCATTTTAGCTGTTTTTAACTCTTATAGTTTAAAATTTTAAGTATCCCTGTTTTGTTTATGTGTCTGCTTAACATGTATCAATATATTTACAAAAACTGTAATTATAGGCTATGTATATAGACAAGGTGGTGAATTTCCCATTTCCATCCCCTCCAGATGAAGAAGCTTTAAAGGTATACTTTAACTCCATTTTCTTGTTCTAATATTAAGTCTTTTAATCATTTCAGTTTGTTTTTGTAATATTTGTTGTTCATATGTTCTTTCTTGAGCTGTCATTTAAGACCATTTGGTTTGTGTTTATAGCAAAGCACAAGATTGGTTATTTTAAGACTTGTTGTGCCTTAACATATTATATTCACATGGTGCAAGTTGAATCTTGGTACAAGTTTGAAAGATATTCTGATGTTTGTCGTGATGTTTGTTTAACTTTTGCTGATAGCTATTATTGTAATGTTTCAATGACATTAATATTCATTAAGCCAAGATTTTTCTGGAATGCAGAAGTCAGAATGTTAAAGATTTTGTAGATAAAGAGCATATGAATATGTTTGTGGGTTATAGTGTCATTAATGTGATTGCCAATTCAAGACACCATTGGTGAATCAGCAAAATTTGTTATCAGTGGTTTAAAGCAAGTTAATATTTTATTGTGCAAGCATTTAACTATTATTTAACATGCTTTACGATGTTAGGTTACTATTTAAGGCTTAAGTGTGTTAGGCTACTGTTTAGGCTTAAGTATTTTTGGTTAATCTTTAGGGTTAAGTGTTTTAGGCTGCTATTATAGATTAAGTCCAAGTAAATGTGTACGACTTAATAAGGTTTTATAAGCTTTATGTTGAGTAATTGAAAAGTAGCCTTAGACTAAACACAGTATATTGAGATAAATCATATGGAAATAACTACATCATAAATTGTGATATGGTACTTCCTTCTGCTCACAAGATTAGCCTTTCCTGTGCTGCTCTCTGTATGCAACCTTTTTTTTTATAATGCATGCCACAAGCCTTCCACACACCCTTGCTGTTGCTCCTCTTCCTCCTGAGCCTTTCGAGCCTGGCCAGGCTGACGAGGAATTTTGATTATATGTCATCATTCTCCTGTCTGATGCTCTTCACAGGAACCCTGAAGGGGTTTTCTAGGGATTGTCCTCTCCCTCTTCATTGCATGTTGGCCCACCTGTCATCTTCAGCTCTGGTCCTGCAAATGTGGTTTATTTGTTGTTTGTAGTTCCCAAAAAGACAGGGGACTGGAGGCCAGTCATCAACCTCTCCAATCTCAATCGATATGTTCACACCCCACGCTTCACCATGGAATCCTACTTTACCCTTTAGTGGTCTTTTTCTACTGGGTCTTTGTATGACCAAGGTGTATGTCTATAATGCTTGTCTGCATATTCCCATATCAGAGCATTCTCATCCTTATCATTGGTTTGTCCATCATGGGGTGGTGTACCAATTTTGTGCCCTACCCTTCATGCTGTCTCCGGCACCAAACATTTTCTGTCAGGTGGTGTGAACCTTCACTCTACATCTTCATGCTCTTGGGTTGTTTTTTCACTTTTACCTGGACGACTAGCTTCTTCTTGCTCATGGGAGTCAGCCTGTCATACTTGTTAGCTCCTTCTTGAAGCTGCTCAGGTGGGTTGGTTGATCAAATAGGAGAAGTCCTTCCTTCATCTGGGTGTTTTCTTCAACAGCCATCTCAGTTAGGCCCAACCTTATCCTCTCTGGTACTGTTCTATGGAACTGACCAGTCAGAACACCCTGTCTGCTCCTTCACTTTCTGCCCACGATGTTCTATTGCTTTTGGGGATATAGTCTTCTATGACTCCTCTCATACCCTTCTGACAGGCTCATATATGATCCCTTCAATGGGCCCTTCTTGCTTTGGATGCTCCTATATCCCTTCCTTCCTAATCGTGGATGATCTCTGATGGTGGTTGGACAAGGATCATACATCAGCGGGTGTCCCGCTTCTTCCTCCATGGCCAGATTTAGATTTGTTCGTGGATGTATTCCTTTAGGGCTGTTTTGCATAGGTCGATCACCAGGAGGCTTTGAGTCCTTGGTTTCTGTCAGGGAATATTCTCTTCATATCAATATCCTTGAACACCTTGCTGTTTGTTGGGCTTCAGATCACTTTTGTCCCATCTTCAGAGATCGTTTGGTCATAATTCATTCCGATAATTCAACAGTGGTGGCTCATATCAATCAACAAGGTTGTACCCAGTCAAGATCCCTGTGTTTTCTAACATTGGATCTTCTCTTTTGGGCCCACAATCATCACATTCATTTGGTGGAGTGTCACGTACCAGGTACTTTCAATAATGTGGCAGATTTTCTTTCCCGGTCTGACTGGTATTCCTCGTATCGGTGCCTTAGCCACTGCCCTTAATCACCAGTTACCTTTCTTTTGGTCCCTGGTTCCCCATTCTCAGGCTTTAGCTATAGATGCCTTCAGCCAGGATTGGTCAAACAAGTTTCTTTATGTCTATCCTCCTATCCGATTACTTCATCGGGTAGTCTTCCTCTTCCATACCAGTTAGGGCAAAGTCCTTCTGATTGCTCCTTACTGGCCCACTCAACTGTGGTTTCCTTGATTACTCCATTTACTGTTATTCCCTCCCATCCCTTTTCCTTTATTCCCTGACCTTCTTCATCAACCCCAGTCCCCAGTTCTGAATCCCACACTAAAAGTCCTCCGTCTTCACACCTGGTTTTTGTCCAGTCCCTGGTGAGGAGATCAGTTTCACATGTTGGGTGGCATTTCATTTAGTTCATTCCATTCGTCCTTCATCCATGGCAGTATGTCAGTGGAAATGTAATGTTTTTCACACCTAGGCCCTGGCTCAGGGTATCCCAGCTTCTCATCCTATGGTTGCTGGTAGCTCCAAGATTCTTACTTAGCTTTTAGAGAAGGAGTCTTCGATCACCTTTAATATCAGATTATCGAGCAGCCCTATTCCATACTTTCCATTTTGTTGTTACTGCGGGGTCTTTCTTTCCCCTGTCCTTGCCATTTTTATCCATTCTTTCCAGATATGTCGACCACCTAGGCGTCAGGTACTTTCACATTGGGACATTAACTTGGTACTCCATTCCCTTTCTTTACCTCCATTTGAGCCCATTGCCTCGTGCTCTTTGTTTCATCTATCAGTTGGATCTGTTCACTATCGACATCACTTGCATGCTGTACCACCAAAACTACCTTCTTCTTTACCCAGATCATTCCTTCCTTCCCAAGACCTCAGCAGGTCACAAGTGTAACTCCTCCTTTTAGCCCATTTCTCTTCCCTCTTTTTCTCATCTCTACCCTCATTCTGATCTGTATATATTTCTATGCCCGGTGCGTGCCCTTCATTGTTATATTGCCCATACAGCTTCTTTCAGGGGTTCCCATCTCTTTATCTTATGGCAACCCTCTTCCTCTTGGGATCTTTCTCCCTTTACTCTTACCAGTTGGGTTCATCATTTAATCCAGTTGGCTTATTCTTCTTTGTCGTCTTCTCAGTTTGCTTTGTTGTGTTACCTCCCATCAAATCCGACACCTGCAGTTGGGCATGTGGATCACCCCACAAACGTTCATCTCTCATTACTTACATCACATTGCAATTTCTGCTTCTTTGGGGTATCGCTTACCATCTGTGGCTATATTTCAGACTTCGGTGTGGCTATAACACTAGGTAAGTCTTTATTAATGCTTTCTTTTCTTTCGAGAGCCCTTGCTTCAAATTCATCTCTTGGAACCTGATTTGTGGTGAGTGGTGTCTGACTGGGTATTCTTTACACACACAACCAAATACACACTGTATGCCATGTTGATTTGCACACTCTTTCCATGGCTCCACACACTCACCTTCGAGATGGGGTGTTTCACAAAATCACTGGATGGGCCATAACCTCATCATATTTGCTTCATAAGTAAACCCATCCCATACTGTACTACCCATGGACAGCATGGGTAAAGCAGAAGTAGATAGGTGCCCAGCCCTGCTATGCCTCGATTGAATAATCGGGATGGTGTGCTTCTCAAAATCACCCATTGCACTGTCTCGGTTGTAACCATTCCTCCAGATTTTCCAATGCTCTTTCCTCCCCCTTCTTCCAGTGGAGTATGAGAGTCCTTACCACTTGCCAGTTCCATACCACTAGGGTGGTTGACCATGGAGGCATCCTACTGGATGGGTTCCACATAGATGGCTATAACCATTCAGTTCAAAGTAAGGTGGTGGTGTTCTACTGGTGTAGAAGGCATACCATCCTCCGGATTGAGTGACACATACTAAGGAGTGAGACATCTAAATGCAGATCACCCCTTCGTTTGGGTGTCCTCATCATACTTTTGTGCGGATGTCGGTACCCCATGGGCTGGTTTTGGACTTAAGTCCTCACACAGGTTTAGGGTTGTCCATCTTTCTCCCTCAATTCTTCCTTCTGTGTAGTGTGTCATGGAAAGTATATGTGAGATTTTTCTATTTCTGTCCTGGTCACTCCTTTGTTATCTCTTGCAACATGGATATTATTGATCTTTGGACATTTCAGACCAGTCTCACTGTTACAAGAGTTGATTGCATGGGACAGACTTCCCTTGAATACCAGAGGATACATTCTCGGATACCTGGCTCAATGCTAATCCTGTGTTCTGCCCTGGAGTCAGTGTTTTCCCCACATCCATGATTTTGGGGTTTGAAGTGTAATCAGTATGATTCTCATCCTACCCTTGTATGGATTTTGGTACCCAAGAAGGAGGTTTTGGATGTAGTTGACTTACTGAGTACAGTCCACTATGCCCTAGCCATTCTAAACCATGGGACACATCCTACATTACCCACTTTACTTCTGTGGGATTGAGTTTCTATATTTATCTGGTTGGGATCACTTTCCTGACTTATCTTCTCCCACTCGGATGTGCTCTCGTTTTCCACCATTTCTGTTCCTAGCTGTTCATGGCAATGAGATATCTGGTTCAAAAGTGGTGCATTGCCCCACCTCAGATCATCTGATCTGTTTCTTTCTTCTACAAAAGTATCCTAAGGACACTTTCAGGGAGTACATCTGTTCTTCCCTCACAACTGTCCCTCCTCCTTTTCAATGTGGGATTCTAGCTAATCTTGTGAGAAGAGGGAAGTACCGTATCAGAAGTTATAATTTTCCTGTATTGAAAATGTATTTCTGATAGGTACTTCCCTCGTTCATACTTCCCACACTCCTCCCCATAATCTTTTGATGCTTACATCTTCTGCCAAATTTTGAAGTGATGGTTCGGTAGTGGTGCATAGAGGGAGTCACATGCGTCACATGATAGTAATGCTCTCCTATTCATGGGGAGATGATGCATGATGATTTGCATTAGAACATGTTGGAATCTTTGATTCCAATAGGGGGTGCAGAAGACTTGTGGCATGCATTATAAAAAATCGCATATAGAGGGCAGCATAAAATGGGAAAAGCTAATCTTGTGAGCCGAGGAAAGAAATTATCGAAAATACATTTTCAGTATAGGAAAATTAAAACGTTGCTGTTTTGAATTGTGAAATCTTCATCTAGCTAGTTTTTAAAGTTTTGATTGCTCATACATACATTTCCAACAAATCCATTGCATAACAGTATAAACTTCATATGATGACAATTTCTTCTTTCTTTCATTGCTGTGGTTAATATTTAATCAAAAGTAGTGATAAGTATATAAAAAAAATTAACCTTATGTATTTAGTGCATCTAATGTTAGAATTTAATGAGTATTTTTTACTTGCTGATCTTGCCTTTTTCTTTATTATGAGTTTCCAGGATATATTTTATTTAGTAATTTTATTAAAATAGGCTGGGGAGAAAAGATTGATCATGATGGGAGCTTTGTATGAACCTATAAGACCAACTCGCTTCAAAGAAGTAAAAAAATGTGAGTTTCATTGTATTGATGTCATATTTGTAATGTTTGATAGAATAAAACTTCAATAAGATATTATCATTTTTTTGACAAACCTCTGAATCCAATTCAAAGAAATGTCTGGCATCTTTTAGTAACAACTATTTATTTATTTCTAAATTTGAGGTAATTACACATAAAACTGCAGTTTGTGGCTAGTCAATAAGAATGAAAAATCATTACTCAAGCATCTCATAAGTGGCTTAATGCTACCGAAGTACGAATCCTGGAGGGAAGAAAGTTAGTTACAAGAAGTAAGATTGTAGTTGAAATAGCTGTTTCATGAAACAAATCCTTTTATGTTGTTAAAAGTAGGATTTTAGATTACATTTTGTTTTATAAAGATAGCGTTTTTACAAAAACATTCAAAGGCTTAACAGATAAAATACTAGTTAACTTGTGTTTAGTATACAGTTACAAAAAACGGTTTTCCCAGTAGATATATATTTGTAAAGTATGTGCTGTAGAATCCTAACAGAATTATTTTATATCTTTTCAGAGGTGTTTAACTACACACATAAGCAGAATATGCATTTGTGTGTAGTTAATTACTGCAAAAAAAAGAAAAACTGAAGGTCACTAATGTTTTTCGGTTGGTTTTTGTAAATTTGGAGAGATCATTAAAGCATAAAACCCAGGAGCTTTCATATGATTTCAGTATAATAGGGCTCGGCATGGCCAGGTGGTTAGGGAGCTCAACTCACAATTTGAGGGTTGCGGGTTCCAATTCCCATCCCACCAAACATGCTTGCCCTTTCAGCCATGGGATCATTATAATGTGATGGTCAATTTCACTATTCGTTAGTAAAAGAGTAGCCCAAGAGTTGGTGGTGGGTGGTGATGACTAGCTGGTTTCCCTCTTGTCTTTCACTGCTAAATTAGGGACAGCTAGCACAGATAGCCCTCGTGTAGCTTTCTGCGAAATTCAAAAAACAAACAAACAAATAGAATAATAGTATTGACTTTTCAATTTGCTGGATAATTTGAAGA